AATTTTAAAATTAGAATACATAATGTTATAACTATATCAATAAATTAATTACCTTATCATTGGATACTTAACATCTTTATAACATAATTCACATTTAAAATTTGTAACTATGAAAAAAACTTTTTTCTTGCAGTAAGGGCAAAAAATATAATAGCAACTATTTTTAAGCAATATATCGTTCACAGTTGCAATACAACCAATTATGGCATTATGAAAATTAATTAAAAAATTAGTTTAAAAATTAAATAAGAAGAACAAAGTATAAGAGAAATTAAATTTATCATATTACTCCTTAATTTTGTCATTGTCAAAATTTCATATATGTTTTTAAAATTTTCTAACTTAGAAAGAATTGTATATTTTGTATTATCAACATTGTGAGCAATATCCATATTATTAAAATTCCTACAACAAAGTGACAATGAATAATTGAAAATGTGGTTAAGATAAGGAGTAAAGAATTAACAATAATTAACAAAACAGAAAGATTTTAAATAATTTTAATACCTGAATGAATCTATAAAATAAATAACTTCTGACATATCAATATTGACATAAATCTTTGTTGATCTTGATGTGGAAATAGAAATATTACCTGTAATACAAATACTTATATTTTTTGTAATTAAATATCAAGCATATATATATATAATAAAATATTTTAAAAATATAATAATACAATTACCTATCGATGTAAATATTGCAACATTAATTTTTGAATCCTTAAATATATTATCTTTTATTATTTCTTCAAATAGTGCAATATAATCGTCTATAGTGTTACTTTCACTCTATTTCCTTTACAAATAATTTAACCAAAATTATAATATTTTTCAATTAACATTATGTCTTGTAATTGAAGCGTCATGACATTAATCTTGTCTTGAGTAGTTTTTTTTTTCTTCAATTGAACTTGTGTGCATGACCACTCTAATTACATATATTCATAAAATAAATAATTTTAGGAAACTAATTGATAAATTAAATATAAATTATATAACAACTTTTAGTAAAGTTTTATAGCAAAATACCTGTTAAGATATTATTTCTACAATGACTTTTCAAATCTTCAAAGTTTACAAACTCAAATATATGGTAAGGAATTATGTTATCATCATTTAATTTCTTAATAATAGTTATGACATAGAATTACAACATGAAAAGATTGTTTTCAACCACAACAAATCTATCTTTATGCTTTGTCACTGAAAAATTTGTTATAGAGTATATTTTTCTTTCCTTTAATATACGTCTGTGTAAAAAATATCCCGTCCTATGGAAATATGTATGTAATTGTTCTATAAAAAAGAAAATTTAAAAATAAATTAAGTTAGTTAGTTACCATAGAATAATATATAAAAGGTAACATAATTATAATTTATTAAAAATAATAAATTTTTAATAAGAAAAATACAAATTTAATATTTTTTCATCAATTAATACCATATCATTACTAATTAACTCTTTCTTGCAATATATATTTAGTATATCTCACAATCGTGATTTTCACACTTTTATTTTTCAATCATCTGTTGTTGAATTCAGATTGTTAAGAAAAGTCCATTTATCTTCATTAGAACTTATTCTTCTACAAAAACATGGAAAACATAAAAGTAAATAATTACTTGTGATGAATATAAGAAAATAATGATAGATTTGATACAAATTAATCAGTTAAAAATAAAATTCAATATATAATATCATTTAAAAATAATACACTTTATGCTTACTTAAAAAATTAAATTAAAATATATAACACAATTTAGTGAAACAAAATAAAAAATATCAAATTCGAAAATACATGTACTTGCGTGGATAGGTAATTCTTGATAGCTGACGTAATTGTAAAATACAAAGAAAAAGGATGATAATAGAAAGAATGATAAGCAAGTTTTCAAAAGTTGTGTAAACATGACTTATATAAGTAAAGATAATTTTCTACTTGAAGATATATGAAAAGTTAGAAAATAAAAAAATTAATATAATAAAAGTTATCTTTTCTTCTTTATTATAGTTTACTTGTCTTTTCATTGAAAATTTAATTTAATAATATATAATATAAAACAATAATTAACATTCAAATGTTAAATAAAAGTTAAATATAATTCAGATATAATTTTAATTCGTAAATTATGAAAAATAGTATAATTAATTTTAATAACGGTAATTTAAGTTGATTTATAGTATAATTATTTATGTTTCCGTTTGTAACATAATATAACCATCAATACTAATAAATATTCTTTAAATACAATTCAAACATAATAAGTATGAATAAAATATAATTTTAATTTATAAGTTATATGTTTCAAATTTTAATACATAGAATAATAAGTAAGTGTAGTAAATAGGAATGACTTTATACATTTCAAATTTTAATACATAGATAGAAATAATTTTTTATGTTTCAAAATGTAATACACCGAGTAATAATTTTTAATAATGGTAATTTAAGTCGATTTATAGTATAATTATTTATGTTTCCGTTTGTAACATAATATAACCATTAATACTAATAAATATTCTTTAAATACAATTCAATAATGTCACGACCCCAAGGGCAAGGTCATAACATAATCTACTAAATCTCAGCAATACACAATAATCACTCTTAATTAGGCATTCATGGATAATAATTATCAAGGAAATCAACATGTATTGATTGAGAGAATAATTCTTAAACAATATAAGTATTACAAAATATGACTTAGTTGTCATTACAAATATTAATTACAGCAAAAGACTAATACATGAGGAAGTCCTAACGTATCCTAATGCCTAATCCTCCGCTTCTCCATCAGCTATTCCGGTCAGCCTGGGAAGCCGAAGCCTCACCTGCCTGATCTGCTCACGTACCAAGATACGATCATCGCAGCACAACATCACAACAACAATTGCAAGGTGAGCTTACAAAAAGAACCAGCATATCAAGTAAAATAATTGTAGCAAATCAGCAAGAAACAACAATTACAGCCCATGTAGCCCAGCCCAGCTCATGCTCATGCAGTAATGAAAAATAATGTCCATCTGGCCTTTAACAGCACATAGCAGGTCCAGAGGAACTGTGCCGGTCTGGGAGCAACCCGTTCCGGTATCTAGATCCAGATAGTACAGTTCAGCTTTCTAAAGCCACATGACTACCCACCTAGCATGTGACATAGCGCCTATCATGACAGCCCTATTCAGCTCTAGCATGATGCAACAATCAGCATATTAATAATTTCAGCAATAGTAATTATGTAACAGCTCAGCTAATTCAGCAAATTTTCAGCAATATACAGCATTATTAACTCAGCAAACAGCCCAACAATTTACCACATGTCATATTCAGCTCATTGGGTCATCCTCCCTAGGGTTTTTCACAACATACAACCACAATACTCTATCATTCAGTTATCAAATTACTTCTCCTAGGTTTCAACAACAATCAATCACAATAAAACAAGGTAAATACATACACGACAAGCATTACATTCAGTCTTATCGTTTTCAACACATACAAGCCAAGGCATTAAAATAACAATAAGTATGAATAAAATATAATTTTAATTTATAAGTTATATGTTTCAAATTTTAATACATAAAATAATAAGTAAATGTAGTAAATAGGAGTAACTTTATACATTTTAAATTTTAATACATAGATAGAAATAATTTTTTATGTTTCAAAATGTAATACACCGAGTAATAAATAGGTGCAGTAAATTTTAGATATAGATATAGATATAGAATATAGATATAGATAGATTTTGACTATTAATCTTATATTCATAGATAATAGAGTTAATAATTTAGTTAAAAAACATTAAAACATAGACTAAAATGTCATTTTGGTTCCTGAGAGAGTTTGCGCCTTGCACTTTGGTCCTTTAAAAATTTAAAATGTTATGTTAGTCCCTGACTTTCATTTCTGTCATGCATTTAAGTCGTTAATAGAGAATAAAAGAATGCTGACATGTCACGTTAAGTGACACGTGTTATTGCTTACATGGCAAAATGACGCTGACGTGTCATGTTAAGTGACATGTGTAATTGATTATGTGGTAAAAAAGACGTCGTATGTGGTATATTATATGTTTTCGTTTCATTTTAGTCCTTGAAATTATAACTCATCGGGTATTTTAGTCCTTGAAATTATAACTTGGTTGTTTTTGGGTTTGTTTTGCTTTCATCTTCATCTCTTTCCTTCACATCCTCTTTAGCTTCTTTTTGTGTGAATGTGATTACATACTCTTCTTCTTTGTAGTTTTCCTTTGTATATATGCATGCATTCATACTAGTATTTGAGCTTCATTTGAACATAAAATCTTGAGTTGTAAGTGATGAAGTTGTTATTGGTGTGAGAGTAATCTAGTACATAGGTGTGACTTGAAAATGATGTGTTGGGTTCTAATCAGTAATGACTAGTTTTGATGATGCTTCAGTTTATAATGGGTTAGGACGACAATAAAGGTTTCAACATGACTTTTCTATCATTTGACGAGTGTAAGAACTTCAATCCCTCTTCTCTTCCCCTTCTTATAAAGCCACCAAACATCCTGTAAATGCATTTTCACATAAATCTTCTCTATCATTTCTTTCACACCAGATCATTTTTTAATAGAACCTCTACTACCCTTCTTCTCTTTCTCTCTGTTAGGGACTAAAATGTTCGTCAGAGACTAAAATGTTCATTAGTGATAATTTTAGAGACTAAAATGCCTATTGGTAACAATCTCAGGGACTAAAATGTCCAACAAATTATAATTTTAAAGACTAAAATAAAACAAAAATATATACTATACTACATATGACGTCGTTTTTATCATGTAATCAATGATACATATCACTTAACAAAATATGCTAACATTATTTTGTCACGTAAATAATGACATATGTCAATTAACATAATATATCAATATTTTATTACTGTATATTAACTGCGTCCGAGTTTAAGAAGTTAAATCCACGTAAACCTGACATTTTTTAGAAAATAAATTACACGACGAAACTCTCCCAAAATGACCGTTTAGGATTAAACATGAATACCTCATCAAAATTACGATCAGCAAGCACCTTAGTAAATTTGATATCATGTAAACGGGCCCAATAATTTTTCCACTAATAGGTTGTGTAAACTTCCGAGAAATAATGAAGACCATATTCAGAGGTTCCCGATTTCTTGAATTTGGCAGCAATTCAAAGGTTAACCTGTGTAGTTTCCGCGCGCGTGTAATGGACGCAGCAGCAGCAGCAGCTAGGGTTTCCAGTGGTGGCGGCGGTGCGGTTCGCTTTCCGTTATCTGCATCCACCTCTCTGGTCATTCAGAAAGGGGACATCACCAAATGGTTCATCGATGGTTCCACTGACGCAATAGTATGCACAATTTCTCTCTCGTAATCCATTTCATTATTTCACTTCGTTGAACATGAATCACTTGCGTGGTCTCCTCTCCTGCAGGTAAATCCTGCAAACGAGAGAATGCTCGGTGGTGGTGGTGCCGATGGAGGTTAATTCTGTGGATTTTTTTTGTAAAAGGAATAAATTAATCCGTAATGCTTTATGTATAATGATTTCGGTGGTGAAAATGGGGGCCAAATTAAAATCGTTTGACTCTGATTTCAGCTATACATAGGGCTGCAGGCCCGGAACTTGTTGAAGCATGCTGCAATGTCCCTGAAGTCAGACCCGGAGTTCGGTGCCCAACAGGGGAAGCAAGGATCACACCGTTAGTGCTTCTTCTGATTTTATGTTTAGTTGTGCAATTCTTTAAGCTTATTCGGGTGCTTTTAGAACCACCGGAACATGTTCACGGTGGAATGTGGATGAGCTTGTCAAAATAGTTTTGAAAGAAACTGTTTGGCCTTACCTCACATGTTACGCTATGTTTGTTATCACATTACGGCCCAAAAAGTAAAATATTTTTTCCTTTGCAAAAATTACATTACGCTTGCCTTGGAGATCGTGATTTACCTTTGCAACACAGTTCTTTTGAATGTACGCACAAACACCGTATGAAGTGTAACCTGTTCTTGTTCATGTGCAGAGGTTTTATGCTACTTGCTTCTAATGTTATTCACACTGTTGGTCCAATCTACAGTGCTGACAGTAATCCTGCTGCCTCTCTAGCAAGTGCTTACAGGTAAGGTTTTTGACACTGTGCTCATGTTTCTATTCTTCATTGTCGTTGAATCAGCACATGTTTATTTCATTTTAATGTTTTGGTTCTCCCTGTTATTACACTTGATTCGGTTGGTTCAACGTTTGTGTTGTCAAAATTGATTTACAGGAATACTATGAGGGTTGCAAGAGAAAACAACATTCAGTATATAGCATTCCCAGCTATATCATGTGGTGTCTATGGGTAGGTTTATGCTAACAATTGCCCCCTCCACCATCTTAATTTATTCATTCTTTGTTTGTTGATTATCAAATTGGTCACGTGGCATGGCTTGAGATGTAATTGTCTTTTACAGTGGAATCCCAATGAAAATTATTTTCATCATTTCTATTCACTTTAAAAGTTTGATCATTGGAGCAAAACAAAACATGCATGAAAAATTAATAACACAGTTGCTGTCCGTTTAATATGATGTGATGACTGTACTATTTCTTGTGATGACTAATCTAATTTGTTCTCAAACCTAATAAATTCAATCTTTTGGCTCTCAAATCTAATTTTCCTATTGATTTAGATCCGAGCCTTTCATGACAATTGTGTTATGCTGCATTGTTTTAGATACCCTTATGATGAAGCTGCTACTGTGGCAATTTCTACCATCAAAGAGTTCCGAAATGATTTTCAAGAGGTATTACCCTCCATTTTCTTTATTTGGTCTTAGTTATGTTATGAATAAATATACATTTCAATTTGCACTTTTAATAAAATGATGCATTACGAATTAGATGTGATTGTGAGTTTGCCTTTGGGTTTCATGTGAGGATTACTTTGGCACCTTGTTTTTAATTTTCATACTACACTTTACTTTTTAATGTAATTTCTATTTTAATAATAATTTCATCACCTGTGTTGTCAAAAGCGCGAGTGGGATCAGTTAGGGTTCAGATATAAAATCAAGGTAAGGATTTAAGAAAATAATGGTTTTATTGATCCCTAGAAAGAATTAGGATTACAAAAGGAATCCCTTAGAGTTAATAGCTCCTGAAAAGAAAATGAAATTCTCCCCTAATAATTAATAGAATCAAAGATGCCTCAATCAAGAAACTAACTATTTGTAGAATCTGTTAGCAATATTAACAAACTAACTAACATTAGTTAAGCTTTATCTTTATCTTCAACAACTCTTTTCTACCCTTCTTTCTAAAATAAACCTACACTTTAAGTCTTTTATTGACATTGATCATATGTTTCTCTGCCATGATTTTAACACTTAACTCCACCCAAAGAAACAGCCTTGTCCTCAAGGCTTCAAATGTGGAAATTGATTTGGCAGGAACAAATTCATCCTCCCAAGTGACTTCTATAAATATACTTTACTTTCTTACTCTTAGTCGAAACAATGAGACTAGATAACTCAAATTCAGGTTCAGTCATATCTTCAAAGACTAAATTAGTAGGGAGTTTGGTAGGAGTATCATTAAACAATGTCGAACTTGGTCAAATAAAAAATAATTTAAATACAGTAACTAGGAGACAACTTAGTTCCTTCAAGGACCTAGGTTATAAACGCTAAAAATGAAACATAGAAAATTGGAGGGAATTTTGAATTCAAGCAAGAATCAAGAAATTAAAAAACAAAGAAATTCAATAAATCAAAAGCAATTGACTTATGATATTTACTCCCCAAAATATAGTTGGTTCTAAAATCAATCTCAATCCAATTTGTAAATTTAATTTAAAGAACATGTGTCCTTAATCCAAATTCTTTGAATGATCATTGAACATGTGTCCTCGATTGATTTGATACAATTTTTTTCAATCTAATCTTGGAAGTCTGATATATGTGAACAAACATTTTGAGATCGCACGAGTAATGAATTTGACAATTACGAAATGTCCATAATTGTATCAATTCGAATTGAGACCAAACTAAAAGTATTTGTGACAGAATTGAGAATATAAGAAATAAGGTTTCAAATTGAATTGAATTAGAAAATGTTAGCTCATTGCCTTGCAGGTTCAAATTTGTAGATAAGGTTATGAAATTTCTCCTCCATCACCATTGTAAACACAAATGCAAGTTTAAAGGTAAATTATCATGGAAGAGCTAAAATTAATTTGCCAGAAGGAAGAGAAGAAATAAGAAAGAATTTAAAGTAAGTCTAAATTGAAAGAAAGATAAAAATGTAAAAAGTAAGAAAGTAAAAAATATCCATAATTCCTCCAACTCCTCCCTCTTTTTTAGATGCTAACCCTAAATTAAACCTAACTAATAAATTCAAAAAGAAAAATGGGTGACAATCCAATCTACCCCAAATCTTAATTGCAAACTATTAATCGATACTTATTTCAAGTAATAGGATCTCTACTTGTATCAAAAGTTATGATCAAAATAGTAAGCAAAAGTAAAAAAATACTAAAATGTAAGAAAGAGGTAAATTATTAATTAAGGTCCAAATAGGCTCAAACAAATAAAGCTAACTTAAAATAGTAAATTAATCATAAAAATAATGTTAAGAGATAGCACGAAGGATACAAAAGTGTCAATATAATATGATTCATCAATCATAATGTCCAACAACCTTTTTTAATTGAGAAAGATGAAAGTAGGATGGATCTTTTAGAGGAGATAGGTAGTTGCAGCTTGTAAGCAACATTTCCAACCCTTTCTAAAATCTGATAAGGACCAAAAAACTGAGGAGCTAATTTTTGATGAATGCGGTGGGTAACCTATTGCTGTTTGTGGGGTTGTAATTTGAGACATTTGTTACTTATCCACATACTTCATCTATTTATGTGCCCATTGTAAATGCCCTTAAATTGCTTAAGAGTTTCATCTTTATCTTTAAGTTCTCTAACCATTGCCTCAACCCAAATTTCTCCTTAAAGCAATTTAAGCTTCAAAAGTTGTCCTAGTAGAGGAATGAAAAATAGTGTTGTACCACAACTTAGCCCATGAAACCCATAAAGACTAGTTTGTAGGATGGTCCAAAGTGAAGCACCACAAATAAGTTTCCACGCAACGATTAACAACATTTGTATGTCTGTCCATTTGTAGGTGATAAGCAGTACTTCACAACAGCTTAGTGCCTTGGAGAGTAAATAATTCTTGCAAAAAATGACTCATTAAGGATAAATTTGTAAATGAATGATCTCACAAGCAAAAATATCTGCTACCTATTTTTCTATATAAAGGTGTTTTAAAGGAATGAAATGTCCATATTTAGTTCATCTATCTACCACCACCATCAAGGCATCAAATCCCCTAGATGTAGGCAAGGCCATGATGAAATCTAGTGATACTTAATCCTTGATTAGATAAGGTGTTGATAGAGGTTGCAAAATTTTGATAGTGGAAGTTGCGTTTTACTTATGTCTTCGACAAGTGTCACAAGCTTAAACAAACTCCTTAAACCTCTTCTTCATACCAATCTAATAGACATTTCTAGCTAAACGCTTATAAGTTCTTAACAAACCAAAATGTCATTGTGTATTACAAAAGTGAAACTCATGCAATAAATGTAACATCCCTACTTTATTAATTATTAAATTCATACTTGATGTGAGTTGATAATACATGTTGCTTGAAATTAGGAAAGTTTTAGATTGTGAGTTGCTGGATTTTTCGCTGTAGCGAGATGTGTCTCGCTGTAGCGAGAAATCAGCATCAAAATCAGACATTCTGATGCTCTCTCGCTGTAGTGAGGAGCTCTCGATGTAGCTAGAATGACAGACAATCTAGGGGTATTTAAGGGTTTCAAAGTTAAAAAACTTGAATTACAATCCAAGTTTCGAGCTCTCTCTTGTTCTCTCGACCCCTAACCCTTTCTTCTTAGAAAATCTCTAAAAAACCTCAACTTTCTTACAAATCCAAGCTTGGGAACTTCATCAATCAACTCCAAGTAAGTTCTTGGAGCTTTGTTTTCTCTTTTTGGGTGTTTTTTAAGTTTCTCCTTTCTCAAAATGTTCTCTTTTGTGATATCTAGGAAAATCTTGGTCCTTTCACTTAGAACCTTTCACAAAATCTCTTTCAAAACTTCGTCTCACGGTAAGGAGAGTTCTATATTATTGCTAGGAACTGTTGTACATGAGTGAAAATGCTTGAAATAAATATGTATTGAATGATAATATGTGATTGATGTGTTTAGAACATGCTCTGTGATGTTTGAAAATATGTTTGGAATGATAGATGATGAGTATGTTTTATGTGAATCTGAGCATGTGTATGATGTATTGAGCCTGAGAGGAATAACCTCGGCAATGAGAAAATAATATATAATGAAATAATAAAATAGAAAAGGACATAGAAAGATGAGATGTAAAAGAGAAAGAAAGGAAATCAGAATGAATACGAAAAGGACAAGTATAGATAGTTCAGAGATACACTGGGAGTGTGAAAGATGGAGAAGACTGAAAAGTCTTGGAGAAATGAGGGTGGTGGATGCTCCTTTTGAATTGTGCACTATAAATGAGAGTAGGAGTACCACAGGCCTCATACTCATTTCCTAACCTATACTCCTGATCACATTTTTGCTAAAAGGGACCAGGTCGGCACACGTTGTATCCGTGTAGTTGCGGCTATCCAGCAACTATCGATGCTAAAGAAGACTTCAGAGGATCCTAGGGACAGTGGAAATGAGAATGGTATTGAGTTTGGAAATAAGTAATTAGAGAATGAATAGAGAAACATAATTTGAATGCATAATTGAATTAGTTATATGATGCATGTTGAATGTTTGACCTGTATTATTGAATTCTGTGAGTGTGTATGTTTGGCAATGAAAATGGAGACTCATCCTTACGTAACCATTTCAGGAAATCCAGATGACGACACCCAAGGAGGGAATTAGAATAGTAGATAGTTCAGAAGTAAATATAGTAAATGATGTTTTTGGCGAGTATCAGATATTTACTTCCTTTAGAATTCTTGTACATGATAGTGAGGTGCCTAGTGAAGTAATGATGATGGAATTGGAGCTAGCCTTTAGTATCCCTTTTGATTTGTCTGTATATAGAATCTATCACACCCTCTGTATTTATATCTTTTCTGGTGTTGAGAGAACCTCTGCAACAATAACGTATCTTGTTACGTACCATGACCACGATCAGTCTAGAGTACCATCGTGATGGACGATCGAGCATATTACAGGTGTTCAGGTCACTGCAGACCCGGGCAATCAGTATCTTGGCTCGGATGACGAGTTGACTGCTGAAGACCTAGCGATGATAGAAGATTAGCACGAGGATGACTAGTGCCACTTGGTTAAAAAGTGGTTAGGCTGCTCATTAGGACCATTATTATTTTGAGTACTTGTAAATGTAAATGAATGATCTTAATGTATTTTGATAACTTTATGTGTATTTGAAATACAAATATATGTTGTACATTATGAAGCAAATTATGACTACAATATTTGATGTTTATTTACTAGTTTTAAAGACTAATGTTTTATTATTTAAGTTTTTTGATTTAAACCTTTGTTATTTAGGATCTCTCCGATTTTGATGATTTTGATTTTTTTTAAACTATTATTATGTTAATTAAAAATAAGGATGTTACAATAAATCTAGAAGTATAAAAAAAATTGCAGAAAGAACCAATTTGTCATGATAATATGAATTCTACCTTTGAAGGAATACTCAAGTATGGACTTTGGATCCTAGATGATTTCTTGCAAGAAAGAATCCTCCATGACTTCCTTTTGTATTGTAGGAAGCTATTGCCATTGGGAAAAGAAATCAAAGTTGCATTAGTTGCTAAACTCTTTGCATCTCCGTTTTGGGACAAGGCATCAGTAGCCTCATTGGTAAGACCAAGTTTGTAAATCATCACCTCAAATTGAAAGCCTAAGAACAACTTTGATATGTAGCATTGTTTGTTCGCATAAGCCACTCTATGCTGTGGCAAATGTCTCAAATTATGTTGATTTGTGTAGACCAAAAACTTTCTTTCCAAGAGATAATGCCTCAAATGTAAGACGACAAGAATCATAGTCATTAATTCTTCCTCATATATTTAGTTAGGGTTCACAGATGAAATCAATGAAAAGACTTGAGAAAAATGATGGTTATATTGACCACTTAGAAATCATTTGGATTACAAAGAATCTCCTAGAGCTAATAGCCTTGAACAGAGAATGAAATTCTAGTCAAAACAATAACCTAGAAAAAGAACCTCAATATTGAATTTTTAACCAAAATAATATAAAAAAATAAAAATACTGAAATAGACCTGTCCCAAAAATATTTACGAAAGTAGACCGATTTACTGTTTATGTACAGAATTTGACTTCCCAAAAACCGAATTCTGTTTTTCAAATTTGTGTCCGTACAGTAGATTTCCAAATGGAATTCGGTTTTGGGGTAACCGAATTCCATACATAATTTGCATTTATGTTTTTGTATATAATAAAAAAATATTATCTAATATTTATGTTTATATATTTATATTATGTTAATCTGTATGACAAATGCGTCCCCTCATTTTGTAAATTCCTTCAAATGTGCTGCGAGAAAGTCGACTTCTGAGAGCGGTTGAAAACAAACCGCTCTCCAAAGTTGACTTCTGAGAGCGGTTAAAAACGAACCGCTCTCCAAAGTAGACTTATGAGAGCGGTTAAAAATGAACCGCTCTCCAAAGTCTACTTCTAAGAGCGGTCCATTTTGAACCGCTCTCCAAATTTTACTTCTAAGAGCGGTCCAATTTGAACCGCTCTCTAAAGTCGTACACGCATGACGGTTAATGAGTTGAGCTGGAGAATTTGGAGAGCGGTTCAAATTGGACCGCTCTCAGTAGTCGAATTTGAAGAGCGGTTCGTTTTGAACCGCTGTCAGAAGTGAACTCGCAACATATTAATTTACAAAATTGAGGAAATGTATTTGTCACACAAATTAACATAATATAAATATTTATTTTCACACAATATAAAAATAAAAATATAATTCAAATAATAAATTTTATTTTATTATGTAAAACTATTTTTATTATTAAATTTGACAATATATAATTATTATATAAACATAAATATTAGATAATATTTTTTTATTATATATAAAAATAAAAATAAAAATTATGTATGGAATTTGGTGAGATTTTTACAAAAATAATATTAAAAAAATAAAAATTATAATAATAATTGAATAATTTTAAATTTGTATTTGATAAAAATTACAATAATAATTTATTTAATTTTATATTTTTATAAAATAAATAAAAGTATTAAATAATAATAAGATTATTTATTTAATTTGAGATATTAATCTTTATTAAAATTTATACATAATTATTTATTTAAAAAATATTTTATTAATATTAATAAACATTATTAAATAATATTATGTAGATATATATATATATATATATATATATATATATATAATAATAATATATTTAATATAAATTACTAATACTAAAATTTATAAGTTGCAATGACATTCATAAAATTAAAAATTACATGAAGAAAATTTTAAAGTAATAACAACAACATAAATCAATGACGGGAAGTAGAAGCTTGAGTAATGTTTGGACATGTCTTCCTTGTGTGACCAGGGGTGTGACAATAAGAACAATTTTTTTGTCGACTTTGTTGTTCTCTAATGTCCATCTCTGTCCTTATCTTACTAGACTTGGGTCGACCCTTTGAAGTTCTTTTCAGGTCTGGATTTGGACACAAAGTTGGGCCCGTGTAAGTTGGCCAATAGTCTTCATGTCTGAGTTCTCCAAACTGACCTTCGTATACCTTAAAAACTTGTTGTAAGGTATACACGGGAAATATGTATATGTCAAAGTTGTGGTGTGCGTATAAGCATGAAGCAAGTACATGCGAGCATGGGATGTGAACTTTTTGAAACTTGCCACAATCACACCATATTTCATCTAACCGTACTGTAAATCTTCCTACGGGTCGAATTTCTGTCGGATGTTGCATTTCTTCGACTAAAAATCTAATGCTTGTTCTGTTAAAGGTGATGACTCTATGAGTGTTTGCGTTTGACTGTGTATCTTGAATTGCTTTAGTTGCAACCTTTGAGTACATATGTCCAGCATTAATCATTGCATTTACTTCTCTGCCTCTGTCAATGAAGAACTTATTGCAACAGGTGTATGTTGCCAGGACCATGGAGCAAATTGGCAAGTTTCTAGTTTTCTTCAAGACCGAATTGATTGACTCCGCTAGGTTTGTTGTCATGTGTCCCCAACGTCGTCCATTGTCCCATGCCAGTGTCCATTTTTCTCTTGGGATGTTGTCCAACCATTGTGCAGCTTCAGGATTATTATCTTTTACTATGTTGTAATAGTAAAAGAATCTCGGTTCAGTCATCTCATATGCTGGAAACAAGATTACAAAAAAAATTAATATAACTAGCTAAGCAATTGTATAAAATATTAATAAGAATATAAAGTACGTAAAAAATTAAAATTACCCATATTGACGACATCTTTCTTTAGTGCAGCGTTTTTGAATCGTTGTATGAAGTTTTGTGCAATATGTTTAATGCAATAGACATGGACAGAATTGTTTTCTGTCCAACCACTTCCATTTTTGGAGTATGCACTTCTTATGGCCTCGTGACGATCCGAAATGAGGCACAACCCCTCTTGCGGAGTTACGTACCTCCTTAAGTTTTTCAAAAAAAAGAACCATGCATCGCTAGTTTCACCTTCTACCACAGCAAAGGCAATGGAAATTATGTTGTTGCGGTCGTCTTGCGCAACTGCTACTAATAAAGTCCCTTTGTATTTGCCATAAAAAAAATGTTCCATCCACTTGAACAATTGGTTTGCAGAAGGCAAAACCATCAATGCATGGCTTGAAGGTCCAAAATAACCTCTTGAAGAACACATTCCCCTCGTCAAGCAAGCCACCCTTGTATGCTGGTTATGTACTCAATTTCCAGATGAAGCCTGGAATATACAGTTGCATTGCAAGCAACTGTCTAGGTAACTTACGGTATGACTCCTCCCAATTTCTGAAGATATTTTTAATGGCATGCTGTTTCGCTAACCATCCCTTCCTATAACTGATTGTGTAACCCATTGTGGACTTTATGTGGGCTAAGATTGTTGTGATGGGTGTGGATGGATCAGTCTGTATTATTTCACGAATCCCATGAGAAATCATTCGTGATCCCAAGTTGTTATGATCCTGTGAAATGAGTGGGGAAGCACATGTGTGGCACCCGTCAAGCTTCATTATTTTCCAGTGTTGCTCTTTGGTGTGCAATATTGCGTGACATCTCCAAGAACAGTCGTTGTGAACGCATTCCACGACAAGCCTAGTTGTGCTTGACATCTTCACCTTGTAAGTGCAATGATTGACAATGTGAAATCTATTTATGCCATCTTGCACTTGTTCTTTTGTTAGGAAGCGCTGGCCAACAAATAGTATTCCAGGTGGATACACTACCATTTCACGTTCAAGTACATGGCCAAACTCAGAGTCATGTTCTTGTATTTGACTGAAAAAGTCTGAAAAATGTGGAGGTAGGTTGTATAATGGTAATGGTTGTGATGGCGGAATATTTGGAAGTGGGAGGGAGTCTTCTTCATCATCCTGCTGTTGAGATAGGATTTCATCTTCGTCCTCGCTAAAAGGATCAAATACTTCGATTGGGAGACCCACAACAGCATGTTCTTCAATGGGAGTTTCTTCAAGAGGCTGAGAGGGTTGGGTTTGCTCAAATGGTTGTGAGGATATTTCATTAAGGTCCATGAATTGACCAGTTAAAAGTTGTGTGTAGGACTAAAGGTCGGAATTCATATCATATATTGGAAAAGATGGATTTATGGTTTCGTAAGTTTGGTAAGGTGAAGATGAAGGCGAAAGTTGTGGTGGCTGGGTTACGTTTGTAGCAAATGTAACATATAATTCTATACTTGATTGAAGTTGATTTGAATCGTGGATGTTGAACAGTGCCTCAACGTCTTCATCATCATTTAACTCAACACATGTGTAGTTACTAACTCTTGGGTCAAGTCTAATTGGGTAGCGAAAATGTATGGTTGTCACCCTTTCATTTTCGTCTCGGTTGAGTTTTGTGTGGATGATTTTCTTGAGCCTTTGTAGAGTCACTCCTCTCTTTAGATGTACCAATTTAGCTGATGATGAGGTGAACGTGACTCCTTCATAAGGACATTGGTTAATGGCACCATCAGAGTGAACAATGACATAGATTGAAGACATTTTTAGAAGGAGAATGTTCACAAGAACAAGGAACAAGCTGAGAAGGTTGAATGAATAAAATGAACATGAATATGTCTATTTATAATGGTAACATTGGATTCTCAGTCATTTAATGCTTCACCACGTTTTACGAGTGAGAGTGACTTATCAGGTCATGCAGACCAAGAGATAGTGACTTTTCAGGTCACGCAGACCAAGAGATAGTGACTTCTCAGTCACGCAGACCAAGAGATAGTG